TTCCTGGACTAACCAAATTGAGCTCTCCCACGAGAACAGCTGATTGGTAGCGGCACGGCTAATGGGACATGGACGACCGACTCTCCCCTCCAATGGACCCACAACGCTTTGTTTAGGGATGTGTCGGGCGCCTCCGACTGCTTCTGCGGTCAGTGAAAGTCGAACTTGTAACGAATTCCGGGGAAATTGGCTAGTGTCTTTTTTTCCTATCGTTAAGGCCCATGAGGCTTGGATGGAGCTATGCCAAGTGGCCCTGGTGCCACAGGTATGACCCAATGGAACAGGCTCTGAGTCTATTACCACCTAGCGCCCTAAATCCTTTAGAGGTCAACTTTGGGTCATTGGTTTGGGAGGGGGATGAAAGCATTGGCTCATATGTCACACTGGTTGCTCGTAGTGAAGCTATGTATAGGGGTCATAGGGGGTATAGGGGGGCGCATTCAAGCATCGCTTCGATTGTAAATAGGAACTCAAGGTGTGGGTGCTTCCCAAAAGGGATTGGTGTGCGAAAAAAAAGTTTCTGACTTTTCAAGGCTGTCCAGCTAAAGTGTTTCCGTTTCAGATCCAGTTGTTGTCATCGTAGTCGTGAGATCGAAAAAGGACTCGTCGTTAATGTCTTTCCATGTCTACATCGCCTCATCGTCATTATTTCATACCGCCAGCCAATGTTTCCGCTCATCATATTGTGACGATAGACTCGTCGGAATGTGCCTGTCTGTACATAGACGGAAATTGACCTTGAATTCATGTGTGTGTGCGTGTGATACGACGACATTGTGATAGTTCAGCAGTCATATGCACTTGCCCCCGAGTCTCGCCATCTGTTCTCTGTGTTTTTCTCTATCTGATATCGTCACTTTAACTGGTCTCTTTAGACTTCCCCCTCCCCCCTTTCACCCCAAGAGAAGAATTGGAATTGTACTAAGTACTAGCGTAAGAGAGTTTGAAAAATTGATTGTAGTTGAATAAATAACAAGGCAATGAGCCATTTATTGAATTCTGAAGTATAAAGGTGTAACCGGTTATATTCGCACACACACATATTTACTAAAGTCTAAACAGAGAAAAGCTACAGCGTCAATCAGTCCCGCAATTGAGATGCGCCCCGCATTCGACTTCCATTCAGAATCGTGTGGG